CCTGGGCTCAGAAGGGCCCTGCGCTTGGTTGAATGCTCTGCAGTCACCATGTTGAAATCCTTAATAATTTTGGAATCAGGGACCCTGCATATTCATTTTACACTGGGCCTTGCAAATTATGTAGCCAGTCCTGAAAGTGAGTCTAGATTTTCAAATTCCTGAAGTGGGTTAGGAACAGTTTCTGTCTTTGAAGATGGAAATGGTTTCCCCCCTTTATTCTGGGAGGAACAACTACTATTGGGGGAAGTCTTAAAATAGTGACATTATTCAGATACATATTCCCCATGTTGAGTTGTCTATTATTGTTTAGTAATAATAATTGCTACATGGATTGGGTGTTAACTATGGGCCAAGCTCTGTGCTAAGCTAGCGCTTTACCTTCATCCCTCTAGATCTTCCCAAGAACCCTGTGAAAGGGTCTGTTATTAATCTTATTTGACAGATGAGGAAGCAGAGGGGTTATGTAATTTGTCCATTGTCACCAGCAGTGTTGGCATAATGTCTATGAGTTGAGTGGCTCTGTAGCAATATGGCAGCCCCTTTAGAGAAAAGGAATTAACTTCTAAGCTTTCATTTAGATAAAAGTGTTCCTGGAGTCCTTGGGAGAGAGGTGTGTCTTTTGGATCAAATATTTGCTCTGGTAGTTTTTGTATTTGAAGATGGAAATGGTCTTCCATTTGAAAACTGACCATGCAGAGAGGGAGGGGCTGGCCTGTACTTTTCCTTTCCTGTCCTGGAGGGAGGCCTATGGAGAGGACCCACACTTAAGCAGAGGGACCCTGACATGCGGGAATGTTCTCACAGCTCTCAAGCTGTCCTCACCTGGGCCATGGGGAAGCACACAGCGGAGGACCTGGATATTCCCACTGCCCATATCTAGGGTAGGCGAGGAAGAGAAAGGCTCTAAATTCTAGACAGAGGGTCAGGAGGCCCCCCTCCGTGGGAGGTAGACTGGCTCCCACAACTGGCTGGAGAGAAAGGAGGACGAAGACCGGCATGAGGGAAAGCAGGACGCAGGTACATAGCCTCTAGAAACTATCTGCTTTCAATTTCATTTTGTGTTTTCCTTTTCTGCATTGTAATTCCCACCTGTTATCCTCAAGTCTTCAATAAAATGTTGTTCCCTGCTGCAAGCTCATCTTAGGCTTGGTATTACCCAGATACTAATTGTCCCCAATATCAATTCTCCTCTTCTTTCATAGAAATAGGATTGTACCTGGGCCATGGCTGCCCAGCTAAAGACTACATTTCCCAGGTTCCCTTGAAGCTAACTATGCCATGTGACTACATGCTGGCCAATAGGATGTGGGTAGAAGTGATGTGGTCCACCTCTAAATCATGCCCTCAAAGGCCCAGGGGGTGCTGGGCAGAGGGACAGGAAAAGTTCTTTCTTTTGCTTTTTACTCCATCCCGCTGCCTAGAACGTAGATATAGTGGGTTCCAACTTGGACTGTGCAGACAAGGGCAACATACAAGGGATGGAAGAGAGCAAGACAGATGGAGCCTGCCCCATCACCCCTGATCACACACAGACCGTTCCATGAGAGAGACATAAAGGGGGCTGATTTTCAGCTGGTATGCACATGTCTAGTCATCCTGGTTGCTTACAGACATCATTCTTATTGTTAAAAATAAACTTCTGCTTTGTTTAAGCCACTGTTCATGGGAGTTACAGTAATTGAATCTATATTCTATAATTAAGCCAGACATGTTTTAGGGGGCTGATAAGGAAGAGGGCTGTGTACCGCCTCCAGATTAAGATGGCGTTGGAGAGAGGAGCAGCATCTTGATGCAGGCAGTTAAGAGAAGGCAGACAAGGGCAGTAGAAGTCCTGGGAGAGACAGCTCACTATGGTTGCCAGGCAGCCACAGGGATGGTCCATGGGACATGTGAACATCCCCCAGAGATTCTGAGTAATATCCTGCAGAAAGAACCTGATAAAAGTTTGGTCTTGTTAGAGTCATGGGGTCTGATTGTTAGTTAGATATTAAAGGGGAAGCTGGAAATTTGGGGGACAGCTGGGGTTAGAAACAGTGCCCAGAGAATGTTAATTCCCTTCTGAGGCAGATACTTTTGGTTGCCTATCTATGCATCATCCCCTCCCCCCTTCTTCTTGGTTGACAGAGCCCACCCATTATAACAGAGGCTGAAAAAGTGAGCTATTCCTTTTCCAAGCCACCTTTGCAGTTTGAGCATGGACATATTACTCAATCCCAGCTAATGGGATGTGAGGCAGTCTGCCCAGGAGCTTCTGGGAAAGGTTTCTCCCTCTTGTAAGAGACACGTGGAAGGAATTTTGCCTCTTCCTCAACACGCTAAGGCTGGAGGAGCACAGAGAGAGAGCCCCCGAGCCCTTGGCAATGTCACTGAGTTACTGAACTGTCTCTGGAACCATCTAGCTCTGATCTTCTTTGTAAAGGTCATAAGCTTTTTAGTTTTATTGTTGAAGCCACTTTGGGTTGGCTTTTTTATTACTTGCAGCCAAAAGCATGCTAACCACTACACTGTCTTTGCCTTCTGTTTCTACCTTCCTTCAGCCCTATGGGTCTCAAGTTTAGCCTCATTCCTTCCGCTGAGCCCTGGTTGCTCTGGAAGTCAAGATCTTTTGGAAACCACCTGCATCAACTTGTCACCACTTTTCTTCTAAATAAGAATCTCCCTTGTCCCTTCTTACTTCTTCATTTCAGAACCAAGATCTGTATCTGGGTGGGGTGAAAGCAGAACTTCAGCCTTTGTACAAAACTCTATTTGGGCATGGATTGATCCTCTTGTATTGGTCTTATCAGTTCGGATGTGTGTCTCTCTCAGCTGACCGGGAGCTCCTCTCAGGCATGGACTGGGTACTATTCATCTTGGTATATCCCTAGGGTAGCTCAGGGCTGGGCAAGAGGAGGTTCTCCCTGAATGCTTGTTGAATGAATATATGAAAGAATGAATCATCTAAGCCCAATTTTATCACCTCCCTAAACAGAGACAATTTCCCTCCCCACTGCTCTCCTATACTACTCTAGGACAAGACAGTTCTTGCAGAGGTAGAGCCAGGAGGAAGAAGAATTTAATCCAATTCTCAATTCCAAAGCAGTGTCTAATCCTTCTCTCCTTAAATTTCCTTTAATCCACCCACTGTCAGCCTTAGCTCTGGTTCAGCAATGAGCTGACTCTGACCCAGATTGTCTCCAAAAAAAAAAAAAAAAAAAACAGGAAGAAGGAAGAAGGGAGAGAAGAAACTGTGTTTGTATTTAAATCAAATTCCAGAAGCATGGAAGAACTAAAGAGAGAAAGGATTCAAGGTGGGCATTCTCTCCACCAAGACGTGTAAATTCTAGCCCTGGAGGTGGGACCTTTTTTTTCTCAATTCTTTTTCTAATCTCAAAAGTAATACGTGTTTAATGAAGAACTCTTGAAAAGCACATATGAAAGAGAGGAAACAGTGTTTTAGTCTCACCACTTACGGTGGTGACAACATTTTGGTATGCGGATTTCCACAGTTCTTTGGTTTGTCTCTGTCTCTTCACCTCTATCTCCATCTTCCCCTTTCCCTCAGCCCCTCTCATCTCTCTCTCTCTCTCTCTCTCTCTCACTCCAGGTCTCATTCTCTCTTTCTCACACTTAAATGTTTCCAGGTTCTTCACCCTCCAGACAGGGTCATACCCCGCCCCCATTTAATAAACACTCAGTGTGATCTAATTCCCATCTCATGATGCCGTAGGAAACCCAGTCCCCTCGGCTCCGCAACACTTTCTGAGAAATCTGAATACCTTTTCCTCAAACTCTGCTTCCCACTTGTCTCTTCTTGTTCTAAATTTTCGCTTCAGTCCACTCTCCAGCTTCCCTTGCTCTTCCCGTATCAGATGGGAATGCTTTTGGCTCTAAGTAACACTCAGGCTGAAGCAGATCAGAGTTCCTTTTCCCCACAGAACGAACAGTCTGGGGACAGGTGTTCCCCCATCATGCTGATGGCCTGCACATCCCCTCAGCCCTCGGTGTTCACACCGCAGCTTTCTGGCAGAAAGCTTTCTCCGGCCACTGGAGTGGGCTCAGCGTCCCTCAGGGTCTGGCCGGGAGCTCGTGCCTTTAGAAATAGCCCTCGACCAAGGACAAGTGGGAGCTTGTGGGTAAGCAGCTCAACTCCTTGTTCCTCAGGGCGGACAACACAGGGGCATGTTCTCCACGGGCTCTCAGAAGTCTCCAGTGGGGCAGAGTCCCACTTGCCCTTGGTGGCAACCTGCCCCTTCCTGTCCCTGCCTCCTTCCCCCACTCCTGGACCAGTGCTCCCCAAGACCTCCTCTCAAATCACTTGCTTGCATTCGAAGCCTTGCCTCAGCATTGGCTTCTAGAGGAACTCTGTCTCAGACAGTAGACTTGGGCTTTTCCTTCTGTCTAACTAAAAGGCCACAAATAGAAATGTCTTCTTCAACCAAGTATGACTCCACAAACTTCTGGCCTCTTTAAAAGAGCAGCGCATCCCCACTTCTAGTCCTCGAGATTTCAGATATACTGGGTCTCCCTCTAGGGCCCCACCCCCGCTGCACATGCTTTTGCACCCGGCACTGGACATACACAATAAAATGATGAAGGGGCCTTCTGAGTCTAAATTCAGAGGTCATCTAGCAGTTGGGGACAGCCACTTCTCTTCAGGGGTCCCTGTGAAGCCATTTTAGTGGAAAGGCACCCTACTCCCACTCCTACCCAGCCCCCTCCGCCCCCCACTTCCAAGCCCCTAGAGCCATAAGTCTTGCTTGAACTGGGTGTTGGAAGAGGGGAAGGTGTAGAAGAACTTTTTTTTTTTTTTTTTTGCGGTACACGGGCCTCTCACTGTTGTGGCCTCTCCCGTTGCGGAGCACAGCCTCCGGACGCGCAGGCTCAGCGGCCATGGCTCACGGGCCCAGCCGCTCCGCGGCATGTGGGATCTTCCCGGACCGGGGCACGAACCCGTGTCCCCTGCATCGGCAGGCGGACTCCCAACCACTGCGCCACCAGGGAAGCTCTGTAGAAGAACTTTGAATCAAATTCTAGATTGAAGTTTTTTCAAGTAAATTTTTACTAAAATATAATACATATACAGAAAAAATATATATATATATGTCATAAGTACACAGCTTAAAGAATGTCCACCAACTGAACATGCTGATGTAGCCAGCACCCGGATCAAGATGCAGAACCCTCCCAGCCCCCCGGAGAGCCACCTTGTGCCCCTTTCGGTCCCCTCCCCTCCTCAAGGGCTGCCGGCATTCTGACTCCTAACACCCTGGGTGAGTTTTGCCCGATTTTGAACTTCGCATAAATGGAATCACGCAGGGTCTGCCCTTTCATGCCTGCCTTCTTTCGGTCAACATCACGGCTATGAGATTCATCTGTGTTGGGTCTAGCTGCAGCTCACTGGTTGAGACTGACATTTTAATTTGAGGAGTTTTGAGTTTTAAGGACTGAAAGGAGATGGTTTTGGTAACTAAAAGAGCCTGAGAAATTATGGAATTGGAGAGAGGTGGATTGAGGAAGCCCACCCCTTAAGAGCTGCATGACTTTGGACAAATGACCGAACTTCTTGTTTCTCTGTTTCTGTAACGTGGGGCTAACACAGGTTCCTACTTCACGAGGTCGTTGTGAGGACTCGGTGCATTGGTGCCTGCGAGAGCAGCGCCTGGCCCGTGGTGAGGGGCTCTCTTGGGAGCCTGCTTCTCACTCCACTACTGCCGCTGCCGTGAATACTACCTCTACTCTCGTATTTTTATTATTACCCAGAGGGAAAAGGGAGGTTTCAACAGAGCATATTTGGTAGTAGTTATTATAAAAATAAAATGATTTCTAGTTAGAGACGTATCCCTAAACCGGTTAGGTGTGCGTCTCAGGTAAAGCACACATCAACCCTGAGAAGTTAGTACAGATCATGCCCATTTGACAGATGAGGCAGCTGAGGCTTGGAGGGAGAAGCAGCTTCTTTGGGGTCACAGAGGGACTTGGTGGTGGAGCCAGGGCCTCTCTAAGCAGGGAATCCTGCCCTTCTCTTTGCCCTTTTGCCTACTTCTCATGTCCTGCTAGATCCGGCAGTCCTCAGGATGTACTGGGGTGACCCCACTGGGCTGCCCTTGGCATGACCACCCATCCATGTGGTGCTGTCTTTAGAACTTACTGGAATGTTTTCTGTATTGATTTTCTTATCGACCTGTTCACATGAGGCTCAGTCTTTCTTGCGGGTCTCATAAGCAGCACTTTGTGAAATACCAGGTGGGTCAGTGATACTCAGCAAACAGGTTCTAAGGTAGCCCCGTGGTAGTGGTATGGTGGCTGGGAATGTTGGTTTTTATGGGGCTGAAATCAGTCAACTGAGGTAACAGAATTCTATTCTATTGGCCTGTTCACCCCTGAACCAGAATTCTCACACTGCAAATCAAGAAATTGGCCCGCAAGAACAGGAGAGGAGTTTGTGAGAAGGATGTAAGGCACTTTATAGACATGGAGAAAGAAATGCCAGAAGCAAGCTTGAAAAGGCTTGAGAACAGGATGCCCTGGGGGGGCGGGTCTTGGTTGCATAAACTGGCAAGTGTCTTCTTCAGCTCTGATGACCTGTCACTAAGGATGCTTTGGCTGCAAGTAATAGAGAACAACGACTCAAACTGGCTTAAGCAGTAATGGAGTTGGTAAGTTGGCCAGCTCTGAAGTTGGTTGACTCAGGGGTTCAAGAATGTAATTGAGAACACAGGTTTTCTCTCTCTTCCCTCTACTATCCACCTGTTGGCTTCAACTGAAAGCTGGTTCCCTCTGTGGCTGCAAAGTGGCGGCCAGTAGTAAGCAGGCTATAAAATTGTTAACTTCCAGTAGGGAAGAAAGAGAGAAAGTGGCTTTCCCTGGCTCTCTCTTAAGAGTGAGGAAGTGTTGCTGCCAGAAGTCCCCAGGAAATCTATCCTGGTATCTCACTGGCTAAACTGGCTTGGCCTGTTCACCCCTGAACCAGTCCTCAGCAAGAGGCATAGGGGGTGATTCTGGCCCCCATGTGGCAATGGTGGCAGACATTTGGTGGTGGTAGTGGCATCTCATGGGTAGACATTAGAAATGCAGCTAAATATCCTACAATGCCCAGGATGGCGCCTCCCTGCTTCACACACTACGGAAAATTATCTGTTCTGAAACATCAACAGTACAGAGGTTGAAAAACCCTGGCTTAGACTAATCAGGCCCTCCCTGTGCTTGGGGTGTAATAGTTGGTGGGGAGTCACCTACAGTGCCCACTGCAAACTCTTTCTTCAGAATCTGTTACTCTGTTGGAGATTCAAATTTCAGAGAGGGTTTGTTTGGCTTGGCCTGGTTCACTTGCCCACTCATAGGCTAATTGAGTGTAAGGCACCGTGGTTGACCAGTAGTCCCCCCACAGGAAGATCCTGGCACAGGAAGTGGGAAGGGATGTTAAATAAGCAGAACAAAACAAAAAAGCCCACCTCGACGTCTCAGAGAAGCTTAAGCTCTTGATGCTGCTGGAGGGGACAAGTTTCATGTCTTAACTGGAAACCCACAAAACTGTGATGTGCTTTTGCAGTGACACTCCCCTCAAAGAAGAAGAGGGAGACATCCCAGAATGAAATAGGGGAGGGGAAAAGCATGCAACATCCTGGGATGATATGGGGGAGGAGTGGGGAGAGGAAGAGTATGACACACGTTAACTTGACTTCAAAGATGGTGGTCATTGGGGCTTCCCTGGTGGCGCAGTGGTTGAGAGTCTGCCTGCCGATGCACGGGACGCGGGTTCGTGCCCCGGTCTGGGAAGGTCCCACATGCCGCGGAGCGGCTGGGTGCGTGAGCCATGGCCGCTGGGCCTGCGCGTCCGGAGCCTGTGCTCCGCAACGGGAGAGGCCACGGCGGTGAGAGGCCCGTGTACACCAAAAAAAAAAAAAAAAAAAAAAAAAAGAGAGGGTGGTCATTCATTCTTTCCCTCGAGGTATGGCGTCTACTCTTCCACACCCTTGAATCTGATCTGGCTGAGACCTTGTGTCTGTTTTGACTAGTAGAACATGGTGAAAGTGATGCTGGGCTAGTTCTGGGCTTCCTGCCACATGTAGCCCTGAGCCACCACGGAAGGAGTCTAGGCTGCTCCAGTGGGAGGGCACTGAGATGCCATCTTGGATGTCCAGCCCAAGTCAAGAGGACGTCAACCCCAGTAGCCATCTGCTTGCAACAGCACGAGAGAAACCAAGTGAGAACCGCTTATCTGAGTCCAGTCAACCCACAGAACATGTGAGTAAGAATAATAAACTGTTGTTTTTAAGCCACTACATTTGGAGATGGTTTGTCATGCATCAATTGATAGCCAGAACAATATATAAAAATAATATGCATATATAATAGAGATATTTCAATTTTCATTTACTAACATTTTCATTAAAATACTTTATTATAAAAGTCATATAAAAGTGTCGCCAAAAATGGAGAAAAGAAACACCACCCCTAGTTACACCGATGTAACTCCAATCACAATGACTGTAAGCATCTTAGTGTGTACTCTCCCAGCCTTCTTTCCTACGGAAGATTTTCATACAGCAGTTTGAGAGCATCCTTTTTTCCTTTTTCCAATATGTCATCATCGTTATTCTACATTGCCATAGAGTTTTTGTAACCAGAAAACTATACTAACAATGCTATTAACAGCCACTTATAGTAGACAGAATAACGGTCCCCCCAAAGATGTCTATGCCTTAATCCCCTGAACTTGTAAATGTGTTACTTTATGTGGCAAGAGGGACTTTGCAGGTGTGCTTAGGTTAAGGATCTTGAGATGGGGAGACTATCCTGGGTTATCTCAATGGGCTCAATGTAACCACAAGGGTCCTTATAAAAGGGAGGCAGGTGGGTCAAAGTCAGAGAAGGTGATGTAAGGAATCAGCATCCGAGAGAGTGAGCAGAAGAGGCCATACTGGGGCTTCCCTGGTGGCACAGTGGTTGAGAGTCCGCCTGCCGATGCAGGGGACACGGGTTCGTGCCCCGGTCTGGGAGGATCCCACATGCTGCGGAGCGGCTGGGACCGTGAGCCACGGCCGCTGAGCCTGCGCGTCCGGAGCCTGTGCTCCGCAACGGGAGAGGCCACAGCAGTGAGAGGCCCGCGTACCGCAAAAGAAAAAAAAAAAAAAAGAAGAAGAGGCCATGCTGTTTTCTTTGAAGGTGGAGGATGTGCCACAATCCAAGGAATTTGGCATCCCTCTAGAAGCTGGGAAAAGCAAGCAAACAAATTCTCCCCTGGAGCTTCTACAAGGAATGCGGCTCTGCCCACACCTGGCTTTTAGCTCCACCAGGCCCATTTCTTTGGACTTCTGACCTCAGAACTATAAGATAATAACTTTGTGTTGCTCTAAGCCACTAAGCTTGTGATAATTTGCTACACTAGCCATAGGAAACTAATACATCATGTTATTTAGCATTTAACACACAGTATCTTATTTAATATCTCACAACAACCCTATGAGGCAGGTCCTGGTGCCATCTGCGTTTTAGAAATGAGGAAGCTGTTGCTCAGGAGGACGAAGGGACTTCCTCAGGCCACAGAGCTGCCCCGGGCAGAGCCAGGGACATATGCTGGCCCTGCCACTTATGGGTATACTTACAAACACTGCTAGTATAGGATTTATTTGGACTTGTGTAAACATACAGACATTGGTCTAAACCTTTGTCATCTTTTTTTTCATTGTTTGTTCCTGTATTAACATTGTGACTTCTCTGGAAGTCCTCACCAGCCATAAGATGAAAACCACAGTTTTGAAATTGCATGGGCCATTGACTCATTGGTTTTTGTTGTTATTGGCACTGAAGTGTCTCATTTAAAAAGATGAAATCCCAATTCACTTTGGGGTTTAGATGGATCAGATGTAATTTTGAAGTTGCCTAAATCTTAACTGCTATGTCAATCTCCTGCTTCTGAGATGTTTTGTTTTGTTTTTTAAATGTTTTCTTATTTATTTATTTTATTTTATTTATTTTTGGCTGCATTGGGTCTTTGTTGCTGTGCACAGGCTTCCTCTAGTTGTGGAGAGCAGGGGCTACTCTTCGCTGAGGTGCACAGGCTTCTCATTGCGGTGGCTTCTCTTGTTGCAGAGCATGGGCTCTAGAGAGCAGGCTCAGTAGTTGTGGCATGCGGGCTTAGTTGCTCCGCGGCATGTGGGATCTTCCCAGACCAGGGCTCGAACCCGTGTCCCCTGCATTGGCAGGCGGATTCTTAGCCACTGAGCCACCAGGGAAGCCCCAGAGATGAAGTTTTAATGACATCTAAAGAAGCTCTGAAATGGGCCCTGAAGCTGTCTATAATCTGAAGATAGCCAAGAGTTTATGCAAACAAGATTCTTTTCTGCTCAGTGGAGTTTCCCCCTCTTTCAGCAAGGTTGGTCCATCCATGGGCTAAGCTCACACGGACCGGTATGAAGTCCAGTAGTGTTCCCCCAGACGGCTTTTGCATTGATCTGTTTGGAACAAACTTTTTTTTTTCTTAATCGATGGAAAACAGTCATTCCTCACATCCAACACCAAACATCTGCATTCCCATAAAGATCTCCCAGTTGCTTACACGTGAGTTGGTCCGAACGGCCCTGGATTCTCACTCCCTCTCACACAGTCCCTGCTGGAGTCAAGATCTGCTTTACAGTTCTCACGAAGCTTGATTTCCCTGCAAACGTCCAACTGATAGTCCTATTGTAGAGTCTTCTGAAATAATTTTATTTTTTAACTTTTTTTATTAAGACAATCTATCTACAGTAAGATTTACCCTATTTAGGATCCAGTTCTATAAGGTTAAGCAACCTATGATGCATAGGACAGTCCCCAACAACAAAACAATCCTGTGCAATCGGGCTGAGGTTGAGAAACTGCATCACAGCTGTGATCAAGTAATTTCCCTTTGTCAGTGGCCTTCCCTTCCCCATCACTTCCCCACTCTAAGATCCATACTTCCGTTGCTTCCCATATGTGTATTTAGCTGTTTAATGTCTCTTTTCCCTCCTGTGATATAAACCCTAAGGGGCAAGGATTGTATATGTTTTGTTCTCACCATGTAGTAGCTGCTTAATAAATATGTTGAATGAATGAAAAGTGCAAGTGAAAACTATCTTTCATAAAAAGCATCTTTAAAATTTGAGGACAGCAGGAGGCTTCTCTTGACTTCAGTCTTGATGACTTTCTAAACATCATTTGGGAAGAAAGGAATGTATGAGAGAGAGAGAGAGAGAGAGAGAGGGAGAGAAACATTGTCTTTGTAGGGTAAACGTGAGCTGGATTTCTAGCACTGCCACTTAACTGCCACATTACCAACAGCAAGTCACATTCCCTCAACTGTAAAATGGGAATTATAAAACAAGATGAAATGTGCTAATGGATGTCAGTGCCCTGCACTTTGTAAATGTTGGTTTTTTACCTTCTTCTCTGTTTCCTCCTTCTCTTGAGTTTCCAGGCCAGTGTTGGTGCCCACGGTCATCCTCTTCAGCCCACCCTGGAGGATTGCCTGAAGCTTGGTGGACAGTTCTGTACACACCTATGGCATCTGCATCACTGCCCAGGGCCTGTGTGTTCAGCGTGTACACAGCAGGTCACAAGGGAAGTGCCTGGGAGTTGATAGCCCCAGGCAGCACCTTCCACCATTGAGAGATGGGCATGGTGGATAAACGTCCCAGCTTCCTCACCCCCTCACAGGACACTCCAGTGTACGCTACATCGTCTTCCAGAGTCCTCACTGAGATTGAGCCCTGGTTGCCCATAAAGGTGAACAACGCACTGACACTCCCTTTATTCTGGTCCTCCCTTCCCTGTCTCATTTCCCACTTCCTCATTATTCTTCCTGAGGTTGTTTCCCAAATAAACTACTTGCACCTAGGGAGTAGCAGTTGCTGTTTGTGAGCCTCAGATTTTAACATTTGCCGGACTTCATCTGCCCAACTTCTAGCTGCTAGCATCTTCATCTTTTTGCATGAGTTTGTTTTTTCCCTGGCTGTTGGAGTTGAGCAGGCTAGAAGTGCTGGAGAATTAATTCTCTCTCCCCTCTGCCCAGCAGCCATCAACCTGTGCATGGAAGGAGGTGGTGTATAAATACCCCAGCTCCCTGGTCCCTCAGGTAGAACTCTGAGACACATGTTTTATACTGGGGGCGGGGGGCGGGGAGGTGAAGCTCCAGTTGCCTGTGGTAGTAACTGTCTTGATAACTTGCTTCATTTTGGCTGCTCTCCCTTCCCTTCCTCACTCTCCTCTTCCCTACTGATGTGTCTTTTGTCTTCCGGATAAATTACCTGTCCTTGAATCTTTGTCTCAGGATCTGCCTCTGGGGAAACCCAAACTACAATACAAGTTCTGCTATGGGAGGTTTCCAAACGAAGATATCAATTAGATCCAAATGCAGTCTTGCCTTAAACCTCCCCCAAAGAACAGGGTGGAACACGCCACTGTCCAGTTATGCAGCACTCCTGTAATAATTCCATCCGGAGCTGAAGCAGATGACTCCTGTTCACTGAGTGGAAGGACCTCATCTTTCCTGTGGCATTAATAAGCCTCACACCCCACCCTTTGGTACATAATCGCCCCCTGTATTTCACATGAATTCCTTTGTTGTCTTTCACAACGTTACTGAAACACAGACAATGCTCTGTTGATAGCTTTGGAAATGCCCCTTGGGTATCCAGTGGGGGGGCGCCTCTTTCTCCTATTTATTTAGTTACTTTCTGGGGATAGTACACATGCTGAATGTTGTCAGCGAAGTTAGTCTGGCTGAATACTTTCATCTGCCAAAAAAAATTTTGCAGAGTGGCTGATTGGAAATCCCACAGCAACCAACCCCCCACCCCCATGACACTTTATGTTATTTTCTACATTTTCTTTCTTTTCATAGTGGTGAATATGAAGGATGTTTGCTAATTGGGGGCCCTTCTGCATCTACTGCGTTCTCTTCTGTGCCACGCACCCTGCGTTTCCATTGGCATCACCCCTTCTGCAAGTTCTCTGTCCAGGAGGTTCCTGTGACACTCCTCTCAACAGAGAGCATTGAGACTTAGCACCAGCCAATCAGTGGCCACCACGACTGGTTCAGGCATGGGCATGTGGTACAAATTGGTCCAATCAGAGTTCACCGCAGGATTTGTTTGGTAGCAACTAGGAAGCCAGCAGCTCTGCCTTGCAGTTCCCCAATGAGCTTAGAGTGGTTGGGTCACTGACAAATGAACTTGGCTCACTGAAAGTCTCAATTCCTAGGAATTTTAGATGTTAAAACATTTTTTTTCCACCAAACAGTGCTCCCTATTGTATTATGTTAAATCTCCCTGGAGAGCAGATTCCTTACCAGTATTTTTGAGCAGAGACTATAATTTTCTAGTCACTCTTGCTTGTTTTAAAAAGCTTAGCCTAAAATAGTTCCAAAATCTGAGCAAATGCCTGATTTAACTCTTATATTGGTCAGGATATTAGTCCAGCTGCAGTAATGAAAGCCAAAAGAGGGCTTCCCTGGTGGCGCAGTGGTTGAGAGTCCGCCTGCCGATGCAGGGGACACGGGTTCGTGCCCCAGTCCGGGAAGATCCCACATGCCGCAGAGCAGCTGGGCCCGTGAGCCATGGCCGCTGAGCCTGCGCGCCCGGAGTCTGTGCTCTGCAACGGGAGAGGCCACAACAGTGAGAGGCCCGTGTACCACAAAAAAAAAAAAAAAGAAACGCCAAAATAACTGGCTTGAAAAAAATGAACGTTTAATCTTCTCTCATGGAACAGCCCAACAGCGCACAGTTGGCCATGGTGGTTCCATCTTGTCTGGGATTCAGACTCTGTCTAGTTGCTTGGCACCCTTAACATGTAGCTTCTACTTTGTGTCTAAAAGAGATGTTAAAAATAAATAAAATAAAATAAAATAAAAGAGCTGTTTCGCTCCTAACATATTCCCTCCTACCAGTGGGAAGAGGAAAAGGGGAGGGAGAGGGCCCTTCTCCTCCTTCCAATGGCACAATTCAGAAGCCTGTAGTCATGGAGACAGGGATGCGATCCCTAGTCTTCAGCCTCCTCTTCCTTCCTCCAGCCTTCCCCATGCTGCTCTGCCACCTATGTGGACAGCATCAAAGGGCTCTCCTGCCTGCTGGCTTCTGATTGGTTTGACCAATGAGAGACACTGGCAGGAGTTGGGAGGAAGGCAGCAGAGTGGATCTGGGTATTTATTCCCTCAGCTCTCCTGTTGGGACCCTCGGCCACTGTGTCCCTTGACTGAAGGTCACAGCTCCTTCAGACAGCCTCTTCATAGGTCTCCTTCTCTCCATATCTGGCAACTGTTTCCATCTCTGCCCTTTTCGGTTTAGGGTGATAACGCCTTCCACTAGGGGGTTGGAATGCCCCCCCATTACTACTACTCAGTGGTAACACCCCCTCTGTTACTAGCCTTGGGGTGTTGCAGCATCTGTGGGTTCTACACCCTGCCCACAACTTTATAAACAGTCCATTCATAAAACTCTCCTCCTGCTGGGCCCCTGACTGATGTGAATCCTCCTAACAGTCAAAGGCCATAGATGTCTTTATCATCATCCCTATTTTATTTATTTATATTTTTTATTTTTTTTTAACTTGAAGAGCCATCCTTATTTTATGGATGAGAAACTGAGGAACAGAGAGGTTAAGTGAGCTGCCTAAAGTCACAGAGCTAGTGAATGGTGGCACCAGCGTTTGAGGCAAGGCCGTCCGGCTCCAGAAACCACATTCTTTATCACTGCATGAGCCTTGGCTTCTTGAAATGTGAGAAGGACGAGGTTGTGGATTATCCCCCAGGTCATCATTAACTTGTTGAGGGCCTCAGGTCCTCATATTTTTGGTGAAGGGGTTGGACCAGTCCAAGAGTTACAAACCCATATGCCCAGGGAGGCCAAAAAGTGGCATAAACAAAGTACGTGGACTGGGTCATGGCCACAAAGAAATATGCTTTCTCCTGCTTAAAGATTTGGCCCTCTCATCTATCTTTCCTTTCCCCACTAGCATAGAGAACCAGGCACAGAGATAAGTCATTTAGCAACTGCACGTGGCTGACAGTAACAGTTACTTGACTGCGGGAGTTTAAACAAATTAGAGATTTATTTCTTTTACATAAAACCAGTCTGGAGGTCAGCATTGCAAGGGGGTAGCTCCACGATGTGGACAGGGACTCCATTTCCTTCCATCTTTAGTATGGAACCTCTCTCTTTAGGGTCACAAAATGGCTACTTAAGCTCCAGCCATCATGTTTGCATTGCAGGGAAAATGAAGGAGAATGGTAAGGCACCAAAAAGCTTTCTTGGAAGCCCCACCATCAACTTTCATTTGCAATGCATCGGCGACTCAACCTCGGCACTACTGAGATTTTGGACTGAATAATTCTTTGCTATGGGAGTCTGCCCCATGCCTTGCAGGATGTTTAGCAACATCCCTGCCTCTACCCACTAGATGTCAGTAGTACTCGCCCCCTCTAGCAGTGACAACCAAAAACATCTCCACACACCGCCAAATGTCCTCTGGGGGACAGAATCGCCCCTGATTGGGAAACATTAAGGCATTCTTACATTCAAAAGAAGCTGGAAAATATGACTTTTGAATATATTACCACCCCCAATAGTGTACGAAAGAAAGAGATATTAGACATTTGGATGGCAAATAACCGTCCTTGCTCCAAGAGATCTCATTCAATTTCCTCTTACTTTTACTAAGCGGGAAACAGTGACCTAAGAGCGATGATAAGCAGTCTCAGTGTCAGGAGTATAGAGAATGGTGGAGACTGTGGTAAACTGGGAGCAGAGGGCCCATAGAAAGGGGATGCTTTCCAGCTGCCTCCCAGCTTCGTTACCCAAAAGGATTGTGGGACCGGAGTTACCAAAGCTTCTGATTTTTCAAGAAAAGCTGGAAATTGAGACTTTAATATGCCATCTCCCATTTCCAAATATTGGCAACCAGTTCAATTTTTATAAATATTTTTACAAGTAATGTTTGACCCACAGGATGCTAGTTTGCAGTGACTGGTATACGGGATTTTAAAAAAATACACAAAAAATAGAGAGAAACATAATAAATACCTGGGTATCCATCTTCAATAGTTTTCCACATTTTGCCAATCTTATTTGATTATCTCCCTTCAAATTACTCTTTCTTTGCCAGAGTATTTTTTTTTTAACATCTTTACTGAAGTATAATTGCTTTACAATGGTGTGTTAGTTTCTGCTTTATAACAAAGTGAATCAGCTATACATATACATATATCCCCATATCCCCTCCCTCTTGCATCTCCCTCCCGCCCTCCCTATCCCACCCCTCTAGGTGGTCACAAAGCACCGAGCTGATCTCCCTGTGCTATGCGGCTTCTTCCCACTAGCTATCGGTTTTACATTTAGTAGTGCATATATGTCCATGCCACGCCAGAGTATTTTAAAGCAAATTGTTGGCCTCTGGTCATTTCACCAGTAAATACTTGATAATCACTTTAAAAATTAAATCACCATGCTATTATGACACCTACCAAAGTTAACAATGAGATCTTAGAATGGACCAGATGGTTTTTAAGGGGGAGCCCAGCTTTGCCATTCCAAGCTTTATTAACTGATTCTCCTCCTTGTCTCCTGATCACCCTCCCTCTCCCACCTCTGTCCCTCCTTTTACACACATAGACACACAGACAGATATATAGATGTACACACGGAAGCACATGGGCAAACACACGAACACAGGAGTACACACAGATACACAAACATACAGACCAACTCACAGAACACCACTCACAGACATTCAGCACACAGACACACACAGACACCACTCACACAAACACAGATACACATGTGCGCCTCAACCACTTCTTGAATTTAGACCTGCAAGCATTGTAAACTGGGCTGCACCCAGTGCCTGTCCCATTCCCACCCACGTCCTGCATCTCCCTTGTGCTGACTAATTTTTGACCCTGGACTTGTTCACTCACCCAGGCCTTCATTTTCCTTTGTGCAAAACAGGGAGAACAATTCCAACTTGCCTCCGACAATGATGCAGGGAGGAATGTAATGAAAGGATTGCACACTCCTTGTGCAAGGATGAAAGTGCTTAATAATTACTGCAACAACGGCAGCAATGATGAGGCGATTAAAAGCCCCAGGGGAAGCGGAGTGTAAACAAAGAGGCCCAGAAAGGGCTCTGACGGTCTTAATCTTCTGACTGCGGACAATTTAAGACCCACAGCCCTCTTGTCCCTGAAGCCTTACACTTGCCTTCTATTAATACATGAAGACATTTTGGGGCCTGGCAAGAGAAGAGGTTCAAAATCCAAATACCCAGCTCGAGCTGTTAGGGGAGAAAGATATTTTGCAGCTTGGTTCCTAAATTAGAAGATGATTTCTGGGTGTTTAAATATCTCCCTTTATCTCTGTACCACTTATACTGCTGCTGACACAGCTCTGGGGCCTGGGTGGGGCTTGGGGTCAAGGGGAGGCCGGGTGATGCATTCTTTAGGTGCGCCCTTGGAGGAGATGTCCAAACAGGCCTCTGGTTCCTGCCACGCTCTGCCAAGGACACTCCCAAAATACCCTGGGGACAGATGCTATTTTTGAGGTTCAGCTTAAAGGCTACCTTGTGCCCCCCGCAAAATGGGATTTCGCTCTGAGTTTGCTTTTAAACAGAGCTTGCCTCACTTTTTGAACTTCTCTTGGGGTCGCTTGAGTAAAATGTGAATTAGCCTCCGTTCTTCTAGCCTTTTCGGGAGAACCAAACTCCCGCGATGTTTAAAAACAATTTTTTTTTCTTAATCCCTTGCTGTTTCTTTCCTACTGTTGAGTAGAGAGGATGGCAGCTAAGTGCTTGAGGTTAAAATTTAAGATGCCAGCTCTTAAATTCCAGTTCTTCCTGAAACAGTACGAATTTATCATTCCCAAGGTCAGTTTCTGGCTTAGCGTCAGGAAGCTAAGGAAAGGAAAATGAGGAATTTTTGTTTTCCGTTGTTCCGCTTGTTACATACATATTAGAGGTCGGCACCCTTTGAAGATAATTTCATTTGCAAAATATTATAAAGTTGAGAAGTGGCCATTTTTATTTCTGCAAAATGGTCAAGATAATAATGATGATGATGTAAGGATCATAGAAGCATAAGAGCTGCTTTGATTTGAGCATTCACTGCGTGCCAGGCACTGCTAAGCTTGTCACTAGCATATCTCATTTAACCTTCTCCACAGCCCTGTAAAGTAGGTACAGTTATATCCTCATGATGAGGATTTCCACCTCTTCCTGGAAGCCCTCCCTGACTCCAGCCCCATACCTTCACTCCAGGCTGAATGCTCTGTCCTTTAGGCCATTGGACTCAGTGATCATTTTTTTTGTGTGTGTGGTACGAGGGCCTCTCACTGTTGTGGCCTCTCCCATTGCGGAGCACAGGCTCTGGACGCGCAGGCCCAGCAGCCATGGCTCACGGACCCAGCCGCTCCGCGGCATGTGGGATCCTCCCAGACCGGGGCACGAACCTGTGTCCCCTGCATTGGC